CCCCCCCCCCCCACCCCTCGCCGAATCCCCGTCCCCAACCTAATTTTACTAACCCTAACATCATGTTGTTTTGCATGGCACCTGAAATCCATTTTTATTCTTATGGAAATTTTGTTTTGTTTGGTTGTTTTTTTTTTGGGGGGGGGGGTTGTTTTTTGTTTTTGGTCATACTGTGACACTTGAAAATGCTTTGATTATTGAAGAACATAGTATGATGAGACTGGGATTGACTCTGATTATTATTATTGTGGGTGGTTGGCGGGTGCTTTGGTGTGGTTTGCGTCTTCTTTCCTTTCAAACATCTATCGTCCTTATCTCCCCTCCTTTTTTTTATGTTTGTTACTCTCTTGTAACTCCTCTAATCTTCTGGCACTCATATGACCTTTTCCTGTTGCGAGCGCCGTAAAACTTCTACTAAAACTGACTCTGATTATTCTGGGTTGTTTTAGACTGGAATTGGCTGGCTGGGTTGTTTTTTTTTTTTGTTTTTTTTTCAATCCATTCCTGTCCCTTTGTTTCGAATCTTTCTGTGATGTGTCAGTCCGTGTTGATAAATCGGTGGGTCGGATTGTGTCATTAGAAAATGACTCAATATTACTTCTTGTATAGTTAAAAAAAAAAAAAAATACTTATCTGGGGAAAGGGTTTCTAAATTTACATGTAATTTCCCCCCCCCCCCCCAGCTAAAATGGGACTGGGAATTTACGTTTATTTCGCAATACTTCTGCGATTAGACGTTGCGAAATTTTATGAGTTTATCAAGTGTAACGTGAGCCTGTTCAAGTGCAAGTTCAATGGCTTTTGTGTTTGTAGGGGTGTTGTTTCTCAATGCTTTTTGTGGGTGGTTGACAGGTGCTTTAGTGTGGTTTGATCCGTGGGTGGTTGGCGGGTGCTCTAGTGTGGTTTGCTCTTTCTTTCCTAACAAACAAACAGGCAAACTCTTCCTCCACATTGAATGAAAGTTTTGTTGTTGATTTACTTTTCTTCCCTCAAAGAAAGAAAACAACTGACCAACAAGCAAGCTTTTCCTTAGTACTGAAGGACCGTATTAAGTTGTGTTGATTTGATTCTCTTCTTTCAAAATAGCAAATGAACATACAAACAAACAAATGAACATACAAACAAACAAACAAGCAAATAAACATACAAATTAACAAATGAACATACAAACAAACAAATGAACATACAAACAAACAAACAAGCAAATAAACATACAAATTAACAAATGAACATACAAACAAACAAATGAACATACAAACAAACAAACAAGCAAATAAACATACAAATTAACAAATGAACATACAAACAAACAAATGAACATACAAACAAACAAGCAAATAAACATACAAATTAACAAATGAACATATAAACAAACAAATGAACATACAAACAAACAAATGAACATACAAACAAACAAATGAACATACAAACAAACAAATGAACATACAAACAAACAAATGAACATACAAACAAACAAACTTGTCCTTGACACTTACTGGCTGTTATTGTCTCTTGTCTTCTAATACCTCTAATCTTCAGCGCTTATATTATTATGACCTTATTGTGTTGCAAGTGCCATAAAAGTCTTATTAAAACTAATTAAAACTTACTCAAACTACTCTGCCTGCGCGCTCATAATATGACCTTATGCAGTTGCAAGCACCGTAGAGTAAAACACTTAACAAACAAAAAATACCCATGAAAAAATACCCCCCCCCCCTCCCAAAAAACAACTAGACCTACTCTGAGAATAACACCGTCCCTCACACATTGATTTCTCTCTTTCCCTCTCTCCCTCCTTCCCTCCCTCCCTCTCCCTCCTCCCCTCCCCCCTCCTCTCCCTCTCCCCCTCTCTCTCCATCCCTCCCCCTCTCTCCCTCCCTCCTCCCCTCTCTTGCCCCACGCATAACTCATAGGGTGGGTCGGCGGCGACCACCATGCGTCCGTTATTCATGCTCTCGCAAAGGCCGAGCCGGAATATCACAAGTACAGTCTGACACATATTGCCAGTTTTGGGATACCTCCAAGAACA